ATTTTTTAGTTGTAGCATACATACTTTATATATATGAATGACAACCCAGCTCTTGTTCATCACTGTTCCTCGGGATTTTTCTTCTGAATTTTTTCTTGAGAGCCTGGTGGTTCTGTCTCCTCAGACCTGGAAGACTGCTTGAGTTTTAGCTCTCCCCATCATTGGTTTTGAGCTAAGTTCTTATCCTATTTCACTATGACTGTAGCAGGCCCGTTCTTTTATTTGGACTGTTTCCAAATACAGTGGAACTGCAGGTTTCACTTTACCTTTCTGACTCAGCTTCTAAGCCTCTAATACCATCACAAATTCAGTAAATGTTCTATGGACCAAAAAAAAAAAAAAAAAAAAAAGACATGCTCAGAGATCTTCTAGACTTATATAACTTCTGGAATCACTTGTGAATTTCTTTCCACCTGTACCATTCATTAGCCTGAGCCAAACCCTATCCTCAGCACACCAAGAATCAGCAAATGCTCCCAGATAAGATAATGGAAAGCACTTGTCAGCTGATCTACAAAAACTACTGCAGCTGGACATGGTGGTACACTCCTGTAATACCAGTGACTCTGCAGGCTGAGGCAGGAGGATTAAAAGTTCAATTTCAGCCTGGGCAGCTTATAGTGAGACCCTGTTTCAAAATAAAATAAAAATGGCTGGGAATGTAGCTCAATGGCATGGCATCCCAGGGTTCAATCCCCAGTACCATATGTAAAAGCACTTCCTTTTCTCAGATTTTATTTCATCTAGACCTCATTGTTTCTTCAGCTCTATGACTTTTAAATATGTTTTCAACTTCTCCCCCCACCCCTGTGCCAATTGTTGCAGCATAATTGCTGGCCTGGCAAGACTAACTAGAGTACACATGGAAATGAAAGTCTGCTTGTTACTTTTTAGCTTGGAGCTGAGGATTGAACTCAGGGTCTCACATAAGTTCTACCACCAAATTATATCCCTTAGCCCCATTACTTTCTTTTTTTTTTTAACAAATTTCATACCTTTATTTCTTATTTATTTTTATGTGGTGCTGAGGATCGAACCCTGTGCCTCACATGTGCTGGGCAAGCACTGTACCACTAACCTACAATCCCAGCCTGACCATTACTTTCTTTTTAAATGTTTAATATTGGAATGCATTTTTCTTATTTTTCTGTGCCTCTCTCCACATATGTGATAAACACATACACATACACAAAAGACATAAATGCAATATAAATGTATATAATTTTTAAATTTGCCTACATTCACACAACCCAGATACACTGAAATCAAATAGTGCATATCAGTCCCAAATGTCATTTTACAACACAGATCATAAAGTACAGTTCTGTAATCCTGAACATTTTCTAAAATTCTTAATACATGAATGCATTAATGGCAGCATATTATTCAAACTTAAGAATGTATCAATACTCAATCACCTATCATTGGATATTCAACTGGCTAATAATTTTTATTTCAATTAATACTGCTGGGCTTTGGTGGCACATGCCTGTAATCCCAGCTTCTCTGAAGACTGAGGAAGGAGGATCACAAGTTTGAGGCCAGCCTGGGGAACTTAGTGTGACCCTGTCTCTAAAAAAAAAAAAAAAAAAAAAAAAATGAAAAGGGATAGAGGGATGTATCTCAGTGGTAGAGCACCTGTGGGTTCAATCCTAAATACTATGCAAAAAAAGAAAAAGAAAAAAATATTGCTCTTATAGAATCTTTCCTATAAATCCTGAATCTCCTATTACTCCATCATTAAATTACTTAAAATAGAATATAATGACTTTTCCTAAGAAAGGCATCCCAGAAGGGTATAACCTTTCCCCATAAGATATTTACACTTTTGTACTTTTTTTTGGACAGATAAAATCCATGGGTAATTGCTCCTTTTTGAGTCCCTTTTGTTTGGGGATCCTGCTAGCTCATCCCCTTTCAAACTAATCTATTTAAAGATTCTTGCTTTTTTTGGTTTTTGGTACTGGGGATTGAACCCAGGAGCACTCTACCCCTGAGTCACATCCCCTGCCTTTTTTCATTTTGATAGTCTGGCTAAATTGCTAAAGCTGACCTTGAACCTCATATATATTCATTCATATATATATATATATATATATATATATATATATATATATATATATATATATATATTCATTCATATATACGACCTTGAACTTCATATATATGAAAAAAATATATATATATATTAGTTGCTAATAGACCTTTATTTATTTTATTTATATGTGGTGCTGAGAATTGAACCCAGTGTCTCACCCATGCCAGGCAAGTGCTCTACCATTGAGCTACAACCCCAGCTCCTGACATTGAACTTTTGATCCTCCTGCAGGCATGCACCATACCTGGTTCATTTAGAGATTCTCTATTACAAATTAATCGGTCAGATCAACCAAGCAAGGATTGTTTTTAGAGTCTTCCTGGAATATTTATACTTTCAAAAGGTTTATAACATATTCACAAAGAATATGTATATAATTGAGTGTTTATATAATAATAAACCTGTGGTCTTTTCTATAAAATGTATAATGAGGTACCTGACACATGATTTTCTTCACAGTACCTAGGAAAACTGGGCTCTTCAACTTATGAAATTGATAGCATCTCCTGAACATAAGAGCTCTGATATAAAATGAGATTTTCTTTCCAAAATTTCACTATATTCATAGTTTTGGCCCTTCATAGATTCTTTGATGAACAATATATTACAACTCATAAATGAAATTTATGTTTATTACATTCTTTAAATATTACAACATTGAGTTTTCTTAAATCAAATGAAGGCTGAGCAATATCTGAAGGCTTTCTGATATTCACTGGATTTACATGATTACTTTCAATGAATTCTTTGATGCACAGTGTGTAACAATGTATAACTAAAGAATAGTTATTCCACCTGAAAATTTATTTGTAGACTTTAAGTTTTATGTCCTGTGTGACTTCTCTGATGTTTAGTGAGAGGTGTCTTCCCACTGAAGTCTTTCCCAGTCATCATAGGGCCTCTCTCATCTGTATGAGTTATATGATACACAATGAGAGTTGATTTCACACTGAAAAGTTTTCCACATTCATTACATTCATAATTTTTCTCCCCTGTATGAATCCTCTGATATTAAATGAGAGTGAATTTCCTATTGACTGCTTTCTCACAGTCACTGCATTTATAGTGTCTCTCTCCTACATGAATTCTCTGATTTTTGATGAGGAATGCCTTCTGGAAAAAGGTTTTCCCATACACTGCATTCATAGAATTTCTCTCCTGAATGAGTTCTCAGGTGTGCTATGAGGGCTATCTTCTGGCTGGTGGTTTTTGCAAATTCACAGCATTCACAAGGCTTCTCTCCAGTGTGAATTCTTTGATGGGTAACAAGGTTGGTTTTCTAGAAAAACACTACCAAATTCAGTACATTTATAGAATTTCTTCCCGGTTTGAATTATCTTTTATTAAGGGCTTGCTTCTGGTGGAGGCCTTTTCCTTGTTGACTGGGTTCAAAAAATTTCTCTGCAGGTTGGGCTTTATCAAGATTAGAATGCAGACATAATTTCCAATTTACCTTACACCATCATTTTTCTTTTTTACATAGCTTCTGATTTGACTAAGAAAATTAAAATTATGGTTTGAACAACTTTTCCATGAATAATACTTAGGGAGTCTTCGTCTTACAGAAACAAAGCATTTGCTCAGATAAATGATTTTTCTGCATGTTCTGCATTCTTGATTACTTTCATCCTTCAGTGTTTCCTTGTCTATGATTGCAGCTTGCCACAGAGGTCTGTCTTGACTTTCCTTGTAGTTATCTATCTGCTCATCAACTTGCCAGACTTCTAGGGGAAAAATATGGTAAGTCCTTCAATTTGTAAGTCTTTTTAAACTATAATATTATGGGAAAACATTAAGCCCTAAATGCCCTGTGGTGAACTCCTATCAACATGACTTGAGCTGATGTGGATGGATCCTCCCCATGTTCCACCACCCCTACCTGTGCTGACTGCAAATGCAAAGAAATGCTGGCCCAAATTTAACCCAAAAAAAATATAATATGCAGCCAAGCTACAAACCAAGAAATTTACTAGGTGACAAAAATGAAGAAGAAATTTAAAGTGATAGGGTGAATGAAAACCAAATCTGTGTGGCTTTGCAGTTGAGAGATTAAGGCTCTAATCATGAGTTCCAGGCCACAGGGCATAAATATGCAGAGAACTAGAATTGAGCTCCCAGTTTAAAGCTGGGAATCATGAAAGCCATCTCTGTTTGTGAAATAGGAATTAGAGTGATGTCACCCACTAGTTAATGAAAATGGTAAGAAGAATAAGGAGTTACTTATAAGAAATCAGAACCCTACTCCTCTACCACATGTGGGAGTACATCCCAAATGGACATTTGAAGTATCATACAAGACCCCCAAAGTTCAAAAATACACCTAAACTGATTCTACATTAGTGAAACTAGTGGGCTCCATTTCTAAACCGTTCTACAGTGATGTTTCCATAGCTTTCATAAAAAAGAACTCTCACTGAAAAGGAGTTCACAGTAAAAAATAATCCTAAACTTCAAAGGGAAATGATCCACAATGAGTTGAAAACATGTCCACAGAAGTCTGTACATGGATGTTTATAGCAGCTCTACTCATAATGGCCCCAAACTGGAAGCAACTAAGATATCCTTTAGTAGCTGAATGGATAAACAAACTGGTACATCCATACAATGAAATATTATTCATCAATAAAAAGAAATGAGCTATCAAGCCATGAACATAGAGGAATCTTAAATACATATGCTATTTGAAAGAAGCCAGTCTGAAAAGGCTATATATTGTGTGATTACAAACATATAACATTCTGGGAAAGGCAAAACTAGAGAGACAGTAAAAAGATCAGTGCTTGCCAGGAGGGAGGGGAAAAAGGATGAAAAAGTGAAGCATAGGGAAATTTTAGGGCACTGAGATTATTCTGTATAATGCATTAATGGTGGATTTTTGAGCATTTCCATAGAACTGTACAACATAAAGAGTGAACCCTAATGTAACATATGGACTTTAGTTAATAATGTATTAAATTCACACATAAATTGTAACAAGTATATTCCACTAATGCAAGATGTTATTATTAGGAAAAACTGGGGTTGGGGAGAGGTATAAGGAAACTTTTGGTACTAGCTGGTCTATTTTACTATAAATCTAAAACTGTACTAAAAATAAAGCCTTTCAATTTAAAATATGTAAAGGGATGGATATATAACATGAAAACCTAGCTAAGAGAAAGCTGGAGTAACTAGAATAATTTCAGACAATGACTTCAGAACAAGAAAGATTTCTAAGACAAAGAAGGACATTACAAAATGATAAAATGGTTAATTCTCCAAGAAGAAATAACAATCCTAAAAGCATATGTACCTAATAACAGCACTTCAAAATACATGAGGCAAAAATGGATACATCTGAAAGAGAAACAGACAAATCCACAATTATTGTTGGAGACTTCAACACTCTTTGTCTCAATAATTGATAGAATGAGTAGACAGAAAACCAACAAGAATATAGATAATGTGAATGGCGCTATCAGCCAACTCCACTAATTGACATTCATAAAACACTACATCCAACGACAGCAGGATACACATTCTTTTCAAGTGCATATCAAACATTCACCAAGATAAGACATATTCTGGGTCTTAAAACAAAATATAACAAATTTATAAGAAATAATATGTGCAATAACAGTATCAATGAAATCAATGAGAGAAAGATACTTGGAAAACCCCATATATTTGGAAATTTTAAGACATACTTACTTCTAAATAAGCCTTAAGGGACATCTAAAATATTCTGAATGAAACAAAAATTTAAAAACAACATATAATTTGTAGGACATAGCTAAAGCAGAATTTGGAGGGATATTTACAGCTCTGAATGTATATGTTAGAAATGAAGAAAGATCATCAGAAGAAAAGAGTAAAAATTAGGTCAGAAATCAACAAAGTTGAAAATAGGAATATCCTTCAAAGGGGGAATGTTAAACAAACTATGGTGTATCCATTTGGCGAATTACTACTCAGTAATTGAAAGGAAGAAACTATTGGTACACACAACAGGGTGAATCTCCATAGAATTATGCTGAGTGAAAAGCTCCAATCCCATATAGTTTCATACCACATGACTCCATTTATATAATAATTTTGAAATGAAAGAATCATAGAAATGGAGAATAAATTAATAATATAAGGAAGAGTTGGGAGTGGAAGGAAATAGGTCTGGCTATAAAATAGCAATATAGAGATCCTTGTGGTAATAGAAATATATTCTGTATCTTGATTTTAGCAATATCAATATGCTTGCTGTGATTTGTATCAAGGTTTCTAAAGCTGTCACCATTGGGGAAAACAGGATAAAGGGTACATGTGGTCTCTCTGTAGTATTTCTTACAAGAGCATGAGAACCTACAATTACATAAAAATAAAAAGTTAAATTAAAAAAAACAGTCAAATATTCCAAAGAGTAGAACAGTGAAGCAGAACAACAAACAAAAGGAAGGAGGTCAAACAGAAAAGAAATAATACAATGATAGGCCTAAATCTAATAATATCAATAATAATATAAAATGCAACTATCTTAAGGAGAAACAATACAATGTATCAATTGATCCATAAAAAGTATGTTCAACATTCATTAATGATAAAAACTTGGAGAAAATCAGGATTAGAAGGAAATATCCCCAACTTTTATCAGGTCATCTATGAAAAATCCTATAAGTAAACTTATACCTAATGGTGAGAGAGTGAATGTATTTGTCCTGAGATCAGGGTCAAGGCAAATATGTTGCCCTCCCTATTCCTTGTCAATATTATAGTGAGGATCCTAGCCAGTACAATAAAGCAAGAAAAAAAGTAAAGGCATCTAGATTGGGAAGAAAGAAACTGTCCTTATTCATAACATGATACTTTATATAGAAAATGCCAAGCCATATATAAAAGAGCTACTAGCACTAATATGTGAGCTTAGAAAGGTTCCAGGATACAAAACCACATAAAAAATCAGTTATATTTCTATAACTGGCAATGACCAATGAGAAATTGAAATATAAAACAAATATGTATGTGTATATGCATAAACACACCATTTATATTACCTTCTATGAACATAAAATATAGGGGTAAGTTGAAGAAAATATTGCAAGACCTGTTCATTCAAAACTGCAAAATATTACAGAGAACAAATTTAAGACATAAGTAAATGGAGAGATATACCATATTTATGAATTAGAGGACTGTATATTGTTAACATATCAATGATCCACAGATTCAATGCAATCTCATACAAAATCCTTTGCAGGCCTTTGACAGAAGTTGAAAAGATGATTCTAAAATTTGTAAGAAAATATTAAGGACCTAGAATAGCCAAAATATTATGAAAAGGGAAAGAAAGTTAGAGGACTCACACTACCTGATTTGAGCACTTAATATAAGGCTACAGTAATTAAGACAGTGTGACTGGTATATAGGTTGAAACATAAGTGTTCAAATAATTTTCAAAAATGATGCCAAAGTAAATTAATTAAGAAAGAATGGCCTTTTCAAAAATGTTACAGGAACATTTGGAAATGCATATGCAAAGAATAATATAAAAGAATGCTAACCCTCACCTCACACCAGATACAAAAATTAACTCCTTATCAGTCATAGACTTAAATATAAGAATTAAAATGATAAATCTCCTGGAATAAAACATGTGAAAAAAATGTTTGTTACTGGGTTAGAGGTTGCTAAATAGGACACAAAAAAGTATGATCACAGAAGAAAAACTTGATAAACTAGACTCTATTAAAAACAAAAAACATTTATGAAAGATATTATTAATAACAAAACAAGCCACAGCCTGGGAATAAATACTTGGAAAACACATAGCTGGTGAAAACTTATAGCCAGAATATATAAATAACCCATACAATTTAATAATAAACCAAAATAGCAAAATATTACAACAGATACTTGACCACAGAAGGTACAGAGATAGCAAATAAGCACATGAATATGTGCCCAATATAATTAATTATTATATAAATGCAAATTTAAATCACAATGAGATCCCCTACATACCCACTAGAAAGGTGTGTTGCTGGCGGGAAAACAAAATTACACAGCCACATCAGAAAATACTTTGCAATATCTTACAAAGTTAAATATATGCTTACCATAAGACCAAGCAATCCCACTCTAAATCTCATATTTCCCAAGAGATATGAAATCATAGGTCCATACAAATACCTGTACAAGAATGTTCACAAGCTTCATTCATAATAGCCAAAAACTGGGAACAAGTCAAATGTGCATTAACTGGTCCATCGATAAACTGGAACACTACTCAGCTATAAAAAGGAACAAACTGCTGATGTATGCACAACATGGATGAACCTAAAAAGCATTAAAGTAAGTGAAAGAAGTCATATATGACTCATTTATATGAAATTCTAGGAAGAAAGAAACTAGAAGGGAAAGAGTTGAAGCCTGGGGTGGAGAGAAAGTTTAATTATAAAAGGAAACAAAGGTGTTTTGGGAGAGTTGAAAATGTTGATTGTGGTGATAGTTACATAATTATATTTGTCAAAATTATAGAACCGTGTACCTAGGAAAGGTGAACTTCATGCTGGACATTATTATACCTCAATAAATCTCACTTGGAAAAAAAAAGCAACATAGTAACATCAGCATAAATATATAATGACCATACAAAGAAAATATATACAGAGAATTATATTAGAATATTACAACATATAGCCAAAGATCACATGCCAATAAAGCATATCCTTTTATTAAAATACCTCATAAGCACCAATGATATGCCTATAGGGAATTCAGGGGGTGAAGTGTACTAGTCTCTGCAACTTACTTTGAAAAGCATTGCAAAAAAAAAGGTAAACTGATGGAAGGACAGAGGAATTCGCAGACAGAGAGGAGATAAATCAAATATAGCAAAATATTAATTATTGAATCCAGGTGGAGATATTATATGTGCATTTAATCTGTAACTCTTTTACTTGTTCTTTATGAAAATTTTCATAATAAAATGTTGGGGGGAAAATCTGGGTAAAGAATAGCAAAGCAAATCCAGCCTAAATAGAAAAGAGGAAATAAAAGTAAAAGAAGAAAAATCAACAAAACAAAGAGAAACCACAGAGAAATTAACAAAGCTAAAAATTCGTTCTGTGAAAAGATCAATAAATGTTACATAAATTTCAGAGGTTCTACTACTACATGGGATTTGATGATAGTTTTTATTATTATAGTGAGGTTACTCTTGAGACCAACAGTTCCTAGGAGACTTTTATTATCTGAAATTAACCTAGAGAACTATCAGAGACCTATCCAGGCATGGGGGGTTTACAGTCCCCAAATAGATTAAATATGGAAGAATGGGAAGCAATTCAAGTTGCTTTTTGCATCCACCCTTGGGAATTATGAGCAAGTCCACATGCTCCTGTATTCCCATCCCATCCTGATCCCATGCTTTTGGATGCTGGCTTTGCTATGTCTCCCATTTCCTTGAAATCCCTCTAGCAGATATGTTAAGCAGCATACCTTTAACTAAAAATGGACATTAGAACTCTCTCGAATGTTATTCAAAATCCTAACCAGGCCTACCCCAGGTTTCTGAAAAAAATTCTAGAGAGTGGGGCCTACTCATGACTATTGTGAGAGTTCCATAGCAATTATGTGATTTATCTCTGGTTAACAATCACTCCATGAAACAAAACAAAGAGAAAACTCCCCTTCTGTACGGGTAAAAACAGTGATGAAATTTTGAGTGCTTCCTTTATGCCAGGTACCATTTCAGTTGCTTTATATACATCAATACATTAACTTTTGATAATCACTAAGTTTTATCATTAGCCTCCTTCTACAATGAGTGAAGAGAGGCAAAGCCATTTGTCCACAGTGACAGATACTGAGAGAAATGGCCAGATTTTGAACCCAGACTATGTGGCTACAAAGTCCATACTCTTAGCCACTTGTGTGTGGATGAATAACAAGTGTCCTTCCTCTGCCCCGGTATAAAACGATATAATATTTATTCATTGTCTTCCACTAGTCCAACACTGGGTAAATAAGAATGAGATGCACACTCTTCTATCTAGGGTTCTGTGTGTTCAGTAGAGAAATAAGCTATAGGGCTTTTTTTTTTTTTGTATATGTGGGGGGGGGGTACTGGAGATTGAACCAAGGCACTTTACCACTGACCTACATCCCCAGACTTTTTCTTTTTTATTTTGAGACAGGATCTCACCAATTGCTGAGGCTGGTCTCAGGCTTTCAATTTTTCTGCCTCAGCCTTCCAAGTTGCTGCAATTACAGGCACACTCCTCTGTGTGCTAGGCATTTTATTTTTGGTACCATGGATTTGAACTCAGGGGCACTTAACACTGAGCCACATCCTGAGTCCCTTTTTGTATTTTATTTAGAGACAATGCCTCACTGAATTACTCAGGGCTGCACTAAGTTGCTTATGCTGGCTTTGAACTCATAATCCTCTAGCCTCAGCCTCCTGAGCTACTGCATTTGAAATTACCATGTGGAATGCAAAAAAAAATGTTATTTAAAGTTATAAATGTAACAAAGGAGATAAGAATTTAAGTAACATGAAGAGCTGAGAGCAGAAAGCCAAAGGGTAAGTAAGCTAATTCTTATCTTTCATTGAGGGGAGATACAAATGAAAACTCAAGAAGTGTAGGAATAAAGATATTCCCTAGACCTATGGTGGTGCTCAACAGAAGAACTGAAAACAGAAACCTTTAGTTAAGGCTGCTCTTGGGAGGTGTAACTGGGAATGAATCTAAGATTACATTTTATCCTATGTTCTGCACACAGACTGTACTTGTGCATGTCTATATTAAATTTTAATAGAATGCAGTTTTAATATAAGGACATTGTGCTGGGTGTGGGGGCACACACCTGTAATCCCAGTGACTTGGGAAGTCGAGGCAGGAAGATTGCAAGTTTAAAGCCAGCCTCAGCAATTTAGCCAGGCCCTAAGCAACTTAGAGAGACCCTGTCTCAAAATTAAAAAATATAAATGGCTGGAGATATAATTCAGTGGTTAAGTGCCCTTGAATTCAGTCCCTGGTACTAAATAAATAAATAGGCATTGTGACTCAGGAGGGTGGACTATCCTGAATATAGTTTCCATCCCTTTCAGGATACCAGTGAAATGAGAACATTCATTCTAATTCCAGGTATCACTGGAAATTAAGAAATTGTGCCATCAGTACACCTGGAATCCTCATGCATCTCTGTGAGGCAGCAGATATGGTGGTGCACTGAGCTATAACAACAATACTATAGCTAAAAAAAAAACAAGGAGAAGCAGGAGAGCAGTGGGGGCCACAAAGACTGGTCCAGGGTGCCTCTAAGAGAGTGGGTATATTTGCCCAGTAGGACTAGGCACTGGGAAAACCACCTGGGGAATCATCTATAGGTCCATGTGGCCAACATTTGACCAAGAATGTTGCTCTGAAATGAATCTCTCAAAAGCAGTGCTTCTCAGATTGTGGGTGTAGCTCAATGGTAGAGTACTTGCATAGCATGTGCAAGGCCCTGGATACTATCATCAGCACCACAAAAAATAAAGAAAAGAAAAATAGAGCAGTATCCTCAACTGTCCTGTGCCTGTAAGTTCTCTGAAGAGCTTCCTGAAATATACATTCTGATTTAGTAAATCTTCAGTGAGGCCTGACACCATAGAGTCCCAGAAATTCGCAGACTGCTGGTTCATGGGCCACACTATGAAGAGTAAGAGCATTCTAATCAAATTTCTCTGGGATGGGCTCATGGAGAGGATTAGTACAAATGGGAGAGCAAAAGGAGACCAATAGATCTGGAGTTTCTGGATCCCCACAAGCAGCTCAAAGTGAAAATAAACAACCAACTAATCAAAGAAAAAGGCAGCTCCATCCATCCAGGACTGAAACATGGTTCAATGAAATATTCTACCTGGAAGCAATGGCTTCTCAAGTTTATGTATTTTTTGAATAATACAAAAAGAGTTGAGAAGGAAGGAAGTATTATTGAGAGAAGCAAATGGATGGATGGCAGTGGCATCAAGTCAGATTTGTAAGAGTCTGAGAAGAAATAAGAAAACAGAAACAGTGTGAAGGTTTATGGTACCTGGGTTCAAAGCAAAGACAGATGAGAACATAGTGGGTACCTGGCCTAAAAGAGTTAAAAGTCACTTGCAAAGCTTTGTCGTCTATACCAACGGCAAGTAACCAGGTAGAATAATTTTCTTAAGGCTAAAACAAAGACTCCAAATTTCAGACTGAAAGGGCTTGGAATGCTGTGGGCATTCCAGACCAAGGTCCATCCCTTCAGGCTGAAGATGGTGCAGCCCCAGTGACTACCCTATGCACGTAGCAACTTGCCCCTGTACAGCATGCTCAATAGACAGGAAATTGGTGTTTTGCCTACAATTATTCCAGTAAAAACACAAAAGTCCAAGAAGGGGGAATAAAGTCTTAAAAGCTTCCAGAAAGGAGAGGGAAAGGGATGAGAATGGGCTTGGCACTTCTCCCTAGTAAGCCAGGAGGCTGGAAGAGAGGTGGGATCTCAGAACCAGAAAGACCACCCTCTGTGTGAATGCCAGGTGAAGAACACAAGAGACCACAAAAGGCCAACAAGGTAGGGGCCTCATTTGGATATCACCACAGCTCATTCTTCAGACCAGAGTCATGTCACAAGTCTGGGGGCTGAGAAGAGCTCCTAAGTGCAGCCCAGGAGCCCAGCTCTTACACACAACTGGGTTCCTTATCCTGGCCTGACGCACCTGGATTCTGCTCACTTGGACAGCTCTGTATCGGAGTCTTTCTATCTGCCCTCCAGGCCTCTTCTCCTTGTCCCAACCTGAAGATCACATCTGGTTGGGCAAGTAGATACCCTGTTCAGGGGAAATGACATAAGACTGTGGCATTAAGGCTGCGGGCATTCCAGACCAAGGTCCRTCCCTTCAGGCTGAAGATGGTGCAGCCCCGGTGACTACCCCATGCACGCAGCAACCTGCCCCTGTACAGAGCAGTCACCTAGAAGGCGAGAGCACAAATGTCCTATCCAGTGAACTAATGGAACTATGAATTGTTGACACTGAGCCTCCTGCCCAAACTCACTGAAGGTTTCAATGCCACTGAGCTTGCAGCAGCTTAGAGAAGGAGATACTCCTGGGGGCATTCCATGTCACCCTGTGCAGCAGTCTCTCACCCAGAGACACCAGGTGGCTGTAGTTCTCAAGCATGACATCCCTGTAGAGGTTTTTCTGAGCAGGGTCCAGTTGCTGCCACTCTTCCAGGGTGAAGTCCACAAACACGTCCCTGAAGGTCAGGGATTCCTGTAACAGCACATTCCTCTTTAACACAAGGGATCAGCTGGGGGAATTGGGACATGACACCTCATGCACACTGAGTGCATACTCTGTGCCCATTCTAAGACCTTTACCTGTACTAAAGATTTTAATCCTCATCACCATCCTAGGAGAAACTTGACAGATGAGGAATATAAGGTGCACAGAACATAAAGTAACTATCCCAGATCATAGCTTGGAACTAGCGATTAAAATCTATGTGGTCTGTCTTCAGCACTCCCTTTTAAGACACTACAGTATTTTGTCTTTCTCTATACGTTTGTTCTTATATTGTTCACTAGTTGCAATATGGCAGACTATTATAGTAGTCCTCCCTTATCTGCAGGGAATATATTTCAAGACCTCCAATGGATGCCTGAAATCATGGATAATACTGAATCCCTTTACATATTGTTTTTTTTTCCAATACAGACATACTTAATGATAAATTAGGTATAGTGAGAGATTAACAACAATAATAAAACAAAACAATTATAACAATAAACTGTAAGTTATGTGAATGTGTTTTCTCTTTCAGAATATCTCACTGTACCATACTTCTTATGATGATGTGAGATATGGTGTCTATATGATGAGATGAAATGAGGAAAATGACATAGGCATCTAATATAATGTTACTACATAAGGGTTATATGAACACAAGTACTGTGATAGTCTGTCAGTGGATCGGATAAATGAGATGACCAATAAGAGACTAATGGGTGGCTAGCATACACAATGTGGATAGACTGAATAAAGGGACGATGGAAGCTTGACAAAGTTGAAACAAGAGAGCACAAGACTTCATCACATTATGCAGAATTATATCCAAGTTAAAACTTATAAATTGTTCATTTCTGGAATTTTCAATTTCATATTTTCAGACCAAAGTTAACTGCATGAAACTGAAACCACAGAAAGCAAAGCCATAGGCAAAGTGGGACTACTGTATACACAGGATTATATACTTAAATTATGTTAAACTTTGTAGGGGAAGTAGATTGTTAAAATATCTTATACATTCAATGCATATTTACTGAATAGACACCGAAGTGTTAGGTCCTGTGGATGTCAAGATTAATAAAATAAATAAATCTCCTGAACTTGTGAAGCTTGAATCTAGTAAAAGGAAAAATAATAACACTTATACATATGAAAGAGAAAGAAGCTAGACATGGTAGCATATGCTTGCAATCTTGGCTACTCTAGGGAGGCTGAGGCAAGAGGACAGGAAGTTTGGAGTCAGCCTCAGCAACTTAGCCACACCCTGCCTCAAAATAAAGAAAAATATTAAAAGGTCTGGGGATGTAACTGAGTGGTAAAGTGCCCCTGTGCTCAATCCATAGTATCAAAAAAAAAAAAAGGAAAAAGAAACGAAAAACTGATTCATGTATCTAGATAGAATGTATGAAAACTGAAGGAGAGAAAGACTTGGGGATGGGTGCAGGAAGAATTATTTTTCTTCTTTTGTTTAACAAAGCTTTTGCTTTGTTGAAATTTTGCCATGAGTAAAAATTACCTTGAAACATGCTCAATTACACTTATTCACATTCAACTCAGCATATGGTTTTAGAATTTTGACATCTACATCCTAAGTGAAATTGGTCTATAATTTTCTCTTTTGTAATATCTTCATCACATTTAAGGTTAAATGCACTCATAAAATAAATTTGATTCCCTTTGATCTTTCATTAGCCTGGAAACCTTGAACATAGAAATTATCTGGTATTTTAACATTCTGTGAAAGTAGTAATTAGTAAAGACTTAGGGCAAACTTAAAGTATGAATACCTTTGTCTCAAAAATCCAACTTTCAGATATATCCTCAATAAACATGTTACAGAACAAATAGAAATGTAGCACATTGCTTATGAGGCACTGTTTTAATATTAAAAGAAAAATTAAAACCTAATTATCTATCAATAGACAAATAATTAAATATCCATTCTATAACACTGGAACTGAATTAATCTTTGCATATTGACAAGGAACACTACTATTAATAATAATAAGGTGGTAAAAGATGGATAGGAGAGTATGATGGCAGTAATGTAAACACTTATAGGTATTCACATACATAGTTACATATGCATATATAACGTGCACATTTATATACACATACACATATATATTTTTGCTTAATTAAACTGACATAAAAGCATCTACACCAGGATATCACTAACATGTTAATAGCGTGCATCTCTGAGGAAGAATGTGGGACTGGGGGAGGAGAAATTGATAGTTTTGACTATTATTTTTGTGTATGCACATTAAAACATTAAGGGCAAATTTACCTTTATATTTTAAATGTAATGAATAAGAACAAGTGACCTAGAAGTGAAGAAAGGGAAAAAGCAAGATGAGTGTATATAGGTAAATACAGATTTAAGGAAATGTATATTTGATAAATATATGGAAAGATGAGGTACATATGCCAAAGGAAGGAGTAGAGAATCTGTCTTCCCTTTCCCTTGTATCTATCTGTCTGTCTTCATCTCTCTGTCCCTGAGGTAGATAGGTTCAGTAGAAAACAGGACAGAGGGGATAATTGGGTGTTTTTTTTTTTTTAAGTTTACTATACACATTACAAAAAGCTGCTCAATTTTACTAGAAGACAAAGTACGGAGAAATCAGGGACTTACCTGGGAAATGGCCATCCTGTTCTGCTCTGGACAAAGGATGGAGGCCTAAAAGGGCAGAATTAGGAAGGTCAATATCAGTGGGGACAGCCATAACACCACCAGTACCAGCCTAATAATAGTCATCTTGTGAACCCTGGGGAGAATGATCTAGAAACATGGCCTGGTAGACCCAGTCTGTTTCCTTGGGATTACGCTAAGATCATGTGGGTTTTACACAGGGATTTTTGTTTTCCTTACTGGAGAGAAGTATGACTTACGTTTAAAGATACCTCCTCTATCTCCACAATTTTATTGCAAGAAATTTATCAGAACTAAACAATAATAGATGTGCACAAATCTGCAAGGATGTTCACTGTAGTCATTTCCAAATTTTGGAAGCAACTAAACTTCCAGCAAAGGATACTATTAAAAATAAGAAATATAAAAAGACACATTTACATATGCTTTATTTAAAAAAATGTAGTTGTAGATGAACAGCATGCCTTTTTTTATTTGTTTATTTATATGTGGTGCCGAGGATTGAACCCAGTGCCTCACACATGCGAGGCAAGTGTTCTGCCACTGAGCTGCAGCCCCAGCCCCATTACATAGGCTTTTTAAATTACTGTGCTTAGAATTTTAAAATCAGGCTACAAAAAAACAAGTACAATGTGATCTCATTTATGTTAATCAATATATGTGTACGGTTCCAAAGAGCAGTTTTTGAAATAGCACTGATTACCTTTGAATGATGATTTCAATTTTCTTTTTTTATTTATTTGAGAAATATAAAAATTTAAAAATATTAAACATCACTTATAATCACACTCAGATGAAGAGACCTTTGGCAGACAGACGGTGAATGAGAAGAATCCCTTGATGTGGTTTAGAAATGAAATGGGATTGAGAGGGCTGCGGAAAAGGACAGCTGAGGACAGGTCAGATTCCAGCACTGTCAGTTCTTTGGGAAGCTGAAAACTACTGTGCGTCTGTGTTTGCCTTCCTGGCCCTCTACTCTTTACTGGCTCCTCACCATCTATCCCTACCCTGTAGCTTTCTCCTTTCACACCACTGGCATTTGGATTGCCATGCTCTTCCTTGTTGGGCAGTTTTCCAAAGAAAGTTCCAGCAAGGAGCTCCAGTGCAGAGTAACCACCCTACACTGCAACAGTCACTATGGCAGCATCAGGACAACAGGGTCAGCCCTGGGGAGCTTAACAAGGCACCTTCTCAGGCCATTTAGAAAACATCAGAAAGAGGCAACAGAACTGGATGACAGAATGCCTGGAGACTGCTCTGAAATTCCAAACTCTAAAAATATAAAATGTATTTCTTCATTTTGGTCAGGATGGAGATTCAGCATGTACTTCAGAGTGTGTGATGCTAATGCTAAGGGACCAACTCAAATCCAGAAGGTTCAGTGACAAGAGAAGGAGCATAATGCTGTGAACTTATATGTGCTAGGGAGAGGAGAAAGGTGTAACTGTTCCCAGCTTCATCCTGCCATTGCAGCCACTGTAGCAGGGCAGCTGTTCCATCTATGCCTCCAGCCACCTATGACATTCATCTCTCTTTCTCCCTGTTAGGATCAAACTACCTACTGGCACATGGAATTTGATGGCACATGGAAGTTAAGTCAGCCTTGCTCTCTCAGCTGAATGGAGGGTCAAAGGCCACTGTAGGTCCAACTTTTCTAGGACTGTTGGTCTGTGAGTCTCCAACTCTGGGCTGAGGCTTCTCCTCCAACTCACCCAAGAGGAACTCTCTTGTTCCCACGTAGGCAGTACCAAGGAACTCAGAGACAAATGCAAATGGCTGGGACCATCATTGCAGCAGTAGATTTCTGCCTCCCACCCCGAGAGCTCACCTCCTCCAGAGGTCTCAGGCTGGGGCTTCTTAGACTGACTGAGGAAGCCAGGGTGCTGATAAGCTGGAGTCTGAAGTTGGTTAGCAGTGGTCTCAGTTGTACACTCTGCCCTGGAAACACAATGACCACAGGAGATTCCATTAGCGACCCCTATGCTACTTTTCATGGAGGCATAGTGACTCTTTCTAGTTTCAAGATTTAACATTCATGATGAGATGAGCCCCAGTATTGCCAGAGTTCAACACTGCTGTACTAGGAGTCCAGACTCTAGAACCAACTGATGGCCAGCTGTGCCACTTCTATTAATTTAAGGCATAAGTTGAGTAACTTTTATGTGCCTCTTTTATGTACTGGAGACATATAAGTGAACAAAATCTGATTTCCATTCTCTTTTGGAGCTTATTAATTTTAGTAGGGGAGGCAGGAAAAGATAAACATAATAAATAAAGGACAGGACACATTGGAAAGGGCTAAGTGTTACCCGGAAAAGAAAAAGGATCTCTAGAGTTTAACACCCACGTGACTTCAGACAGGTGCTGAGCCACACTGTCCTGCTTTGTCTCTAAAATAAAGCTAATTGTAGCACCACTGCATAGGGCTCCCGTGCAGATTACTGTGAGAATCGGTCTGGAAGCCTGGCCTTTAGTAGGACTCAGTAGTAGTCACTGAATGACTCAATGCCATCAGTCCATCCATGACTCGCTGACCCAAGAGCCTAGCCTCCAACATACCCCACTGCCGGGGTCACTCAGTCCCCAAAGGTGCGCCAACACACGACCCCAAAGCTCCGCCATTCCTCCCCATCAAGCCCATCACCATCACCCCTCCCCTTACTTCTCTGCCAAGTCCCAAAACCTCAGTGGCGGATGACAACAGCTTCTGTGAACTAGAGCCTCCCTCCCGGGCGCTGCGAGTACTTCCGCTTCCCGTCACCCCCTGGGAACACGAATTAGCCGAACTGGGCATGCGCCATAGCTTGGGGGCGGGAGGCGAGGGCGTGGCAACACTGCCAATGGCGCGCTTGGCGCCTGCTAGGGAACGTGGTCCTGAGTGTTCAACTGAGGCCGGAGGGAGCGACTAGAGCTTGCGACCGTATTCCGTAGCGAGTTGTAGGAAAGGCCTGGAGAGAGGAGAGGGGAGCCGACGCCGCGCGGACTTCCCAGCGGCCCTGTTCCCTCCCGCGCCGGGGCAAAAGCCAGTTTTCTATCTGTGGTCCCGCGCTGTTCTATCACCGAAACCACACTTTCGGCTTCCTTTAGCTCCTTTGAATAGGAAGAAGTCACGCTTCTGGAGTCAGTAGCAGCAGGAGGGCAAGGCCACGTACAGACCGTGCGGGGCTGTGCGGAGCCAGAACCTGGGTCAGGCTGAGTCCTGGCAGCCCCAGCTCGGGAAGTTGCCCCAGAAGAGGGGCTTTGAAGTTGTGCTGCAGGACCAGGAACCTTCTGAAATGAGGGAAGAAATCTAGAAGAATCATTCTCCTGTAACATAAATGAAGGTTCCTGGCACCATAGATGTCCTGGAACAATCTGGTGTTTACTTTTTTGGGGAAAATACATTGTAAAGTAGCAGAGAACTGTGTGCTCTGGAGGGTGCTAGCCAGTGACAAAGTGGCTTTGAGAAAAGTCTTCTGTTGCCTGTCACTTTCTGGGAGAAAAAAGCCAAGTGTGCACTCTGTGCTTGTTATAACTGACTGGTCACTGACATGCCTCCTTGGGTCAGGAATAAAAGAGTCCCAGCCCAGGTACACCTTGAGGTACACCTTTTGTGCTGGAGCTAACACATGCCAGGCACTTTTCATAGATGTGTCAAAGATGATCATGGAATCAATCAGATATTTAATTTCTATTTACATATGTGTCTTCCTCCTCATTCTCTTTACCCTCAGCAATTTCCCTCACATTCTCCAGGTGTTTTGGATGAATTAGAGCCCAGTTCTGAAAACTCAGTACAGAAATCTCCTGGGAACTATTTCCATCTAAGCCATGTGCAGAAGTCCTAGGAAAAGAGCATGTTTTCACTAGGACATGTGAGCAATGAATTATTTCTCACTCTATTTTCTGTGCATATGTCAAGGATGGCCAGGTTTAGAGATACCAACCTATTTATTTTTAGAGGAGAGGTGTCCAAATAACTGTCTTCTCATACATCACTTCCACTAGGCAGAAAATACTTATGTTATTATGACAGTGTCCTGAAGACAGTGGAGAAACCCCAAGCTGCAGGAAGCATCTGGTCTGTGGCTCTAGCCAGATTGTCCCCATATCCTGATTCTGCAGGAACAGGTGCTTACACAAAGAAAAGGGTTAATGCTTTGGATAGAGTATAGCATTCAGGAATTAAACACATGAATTAAACACTGTTTGGGCTGTTGGGATCTACTAATCTATTGGAAGAGATGGCGTGGATCCAGTGTTTACTGGGCCTCTTTTCTGCCTCAGCCAAGTACCACGTGCCCTAGACAGCCTGCTGATGTTCCTTTAAACATCTCTAGAACTCCAACCCCAAGAATAGCTCTTGGCAGATACCTGGTAAATGGGGCTAGTTTTTGTTATCCTCTCCCCCGCAATATGAAACATGTTGGTACTTTGGCGGGACTTTTCCATATTGTGGGAAATTGCCCTCTCCCTGCACAATTGTGTCTGTGCCTGGCACCATTGTTGCCCTGGATCACCACTTACATCCAGCTGCTAACATTTTTATGCAAAAGTTAAGCTTAAACAGGGAGGATAAAGGGAGTATGGATAGGAGTAGCAAAAGGCTGTTAAATAGGAGGAATAGATTTTAGTGTTCTAAACCACACTAAAGAGGCTGTTGTGAACTCTGCCTTCCTCAACAAGACTTCTGAGGCACTCTGCTCATCACCAGTCCAGGAAGTGAGAAAGAGTATGGAGGAACAAAGATCAGGAATCACCACCTGCTTTCAGAATCACCACAGTTCAGAAAGTCAGGAAGTTGTTTCTGCCACCTAGAGGTCAGAAAACTATTGCTGATAGCATGAATGTCCCATGGTTCCAAGCTTAGAAAGGAGTTCAGCAGGATGCTATGGAAATTCACATCTACTGAAAAACACTTATTTGCTCTTCCTGTTAGAGCAAAAGTATGGCTTCTACCTCCCTTTACCAAATTTTGTACAGAGAGATTGCATTGACAAGGGAGTATGAGAAGTGTCTCAAGATTTTCAGCTCCTATAATCCAGAGAAGAAGATGGCAGTGGGAATGTTATGGAATGCCAACAGATAATATTTGGTACATATTTGAGAATTCTGTTAAAATTGAAATATTTGACTCCTTCTTCCTTCTTCCAGATTGAATTCAAGGCCAGCAGAAATCTTCAGTGTTACTCCGCAAATGGAGGCATCAGCTGCTGAGGCAAGCAAAACTGGTTTGTGTCATTGTCTTTTTCTCCAGACCCTAGTCCTCCTAGATATTGAGTCCTAATTTGTGCTCCCCATTCTTCTGATATACACTTGTACACATTTGTCCTTGTAGATGAGCATGTATTTGCACTCACAGATTCACATTTCAGATAGCAAATCCCCTGGTGTCATGGTGAAGCCCTAAACTAATTCATTGGGGATAGGACCTAGGATGCTTCAGATGAATTGGGAGAACTTCCTAGATTCTTCCCAAATGCCATGGAGGTCAGAGGCTGAGTTTGCAGTCATAGAAACATCAGGCATGGAGCATCTTCCCGTATGCTGAGCTTGGAGAAAGAGTCCAGGGTTTATTTTGTATGGCACTGTCAAGAGTATACCCATCAATGGAGAGAAACTGTTTGCCCTCCTGAGGGCCCCATTTACCCAGTGAATATTCAGCAAACATAAGAAAACTATAAAGAAATAAGACTCCCATTTCATGAGTTGGGTTCCTGTTTAAGGAATTCTTGAGTCACTGATTCTGATCTAGAGGAATCTCTTTCCAGAGAAATGAAGCTAAAGAACCTGGATTGAGAAGGGTAACCTATTGCCCTTGAGCCACCATTACAGTCTTCTACATCCACGGCAGCTATCATTTGTCAATATATTAGTCTCCCTTTATCTGTGGTTTCACATTCTGTAGTTTCAGTTAACTGTGGTCAACTGTGATTCAAAAATATCAATTGGGAAAATTCCAGAAATAAACAGTTTACAAGTTTTAAATTACATGCTGTTCTGAGTAGCATGTTTGAAATCTTCTATTGTCTGGCTCTATTCTGCCCAGGATGTGAATCATTTAATTTGTCCAGCATATCTGCAGTGTATATGCTACCTGCCTGTTAGTCACTTAGTAGCTATCTTGGTTATCAGATCAACAGTTGTAGTATTGCAAGTGCTTATGTTTAAGTAACCCTTATGTTACTTAGTAATGTCCCCCAAACACAAGTGTAGTGATGCTGGCAAAAGAGAAACTGTAAGGTACTTCCTTTAAGTGAAAAGGTGAAAGTTCTTGAATTAATAAAGAAAAAAATGTATGCTGAATTTGGTAAGATTTATGGTAAAAATGAATCTTCTATCCAATTTGTGCTAGTTGTACTTTTCATACCTCAAACTGTAAGAGTTATATCCACAGTGCATAATGAGTCCTTGATTAAGATAGAAAAGGCATTTGATTTGTATGCATTTGTATAGGGTTTGGTACTATCTGAGGCTTAAGGCATCTACTTGGAGGTTTTAAAACATTTCCCCTGTGGATAAGGGGAGACTACTGTAATTGTACTCCATTCAAACTACTGAGGATAATCTTTACTTAAAATCATCTGATTTTAGATGTTAATCACATTTCTGCAATACTTAGATTTGTATTTGTTTGAAAAGTGGATACTATAGCCCAGATAAGCTGACATATAAAACTAACCATCACAGTTCACCCCTTGGCACCTTGGCAACATATTACAATTCCTTGAACTATACTTAATCTCCAAATAAGGACAAGAACAAAGTCATACTTCTACCTATCATGATCTAACTCTCCTGCATACAATAAAAATACACCAATCTTTTCTCTGGAGGAAGATGCAAACTTTTTCTCTGGATGATGCTCACTTTTCTTGATATCCTATAACTTAATAATAGCCTCAAAGCACTGGAGTGGTGATGTTACTG